TGCTTTAAAACTTAAATTAAAGTATCGTCACATCAGTAAGCGGTAATTCATATTTCGTTTTGGGTGAATTATAACAGAAACTTGCATTTTACAACGTAATAATAATTATTATTATTAATAATAATAATTTGTCATTAGTCTGCAGTACTAAATGTATGCCGAATTTTTTTTTCTACTATGGAACAAATATTAAAGTGATGTAGGCCTACATGTATTTTGTTAAAAAAAATAGTATTACGCAGCTTCGCAGCAATAATAATAATAATAATAATAATAATAATAGCATTGCATGGAAACAAAGTCTAATGCTGTCTTTGTATGTAGCCCTATTTATATTCCTCAGAAGGAGACCATATTTAATTTGTTTACGCACGGGGGTAGGGTTTCACGTTTGGGAAAGTGTAGCTTTTAAAAGTATTCACGTTGTCTGGTTCCCCTCAAAGCGGTACACGAGGTCTTAATCATCGGTGTCTGGCTACTCAGGGAATTAAAGGTTTGAACTCAGAAGATCTGAAACATTTGCGGGTCTCGAACTTAATCAAGGTTGTTTGACTGCAACCATAAAGCGGGCGAAGGGGCAGAACTACATAAATCACATTCAAAGAAGATCCACTTTAATAATGGCAGTAAATAAGAGCGTCCAGGAATCTAAAAGCCAGTGTACAAGGGTTTTATGACACGTACGTTTAACTATTTTAAAATGTTCGTTAAATTGCCGCCATCTTTGCTTTGCGAAAGCGCGCTAATACTGCTCATTCTCTTTTACTGCAAGTAAAAGCTTTTTACTTTTATTTCGCCGAAAGATTAAACATTTTCGATGTTCACGAAATCGAAGTTCTATACGAAATGTACATTAAAGTTCTTTTTTTATCAATCAGTTTGTGAAAGTGCGTCCTGTTATTTTGCCAATAATTGCGAATCCGTGATTTAAAATCATAAATTTAATTCACGGACAGAGATCGGGCTGATCAAACAGGCCTCCCAGTTAGGCGTCATTGTCAAAATGGAGATTGGCGTCAGTACTCAGACATTACTTACTGATTCGATCCTGTCAATCACAAATCCATATTCGAGTATAAACCTGTGAGCCTCTAACGCTCGACGTTATTATTATTATTATTATTATTGTTGTTGTTATTATTTATGAACAACAATAATTATTATTATAATAATAATAGTTTAAAGAACGTGACTAAAGGAGATCTAAAGTATGTAAAAGAGACTAAAAGATCATTTAGCCTAATGAAATATATTAATTGTTAGATAAATTAATATTTAGGTTTTTTTTGCATTACTAATTATTTGTTTATTAATCAAATACTTTCACTTAATGAGACTTAGCCTACATCAAGAAATATTCATGCAAATTGGATGTGAGACAGTACCTATAATACGGCAACACCTGAATGATCTGTCGGTCTGCATACGCTGTTGTATCTGCATTTAAATTGCATCAAACGGCGTTCATTGTGCTCCACGAGATGGTTAAGTTTACCTGCGTGGAAGAATGGACAGCTAACACACCAGTACAAACCAAAAGGCATTTGAGTAAGCGCTGAAAATAGTCCAGCTTCTGCTTTATAGATTTTAAACTTACAGTTTGCAAGACCGTAGAGTATGACAGTTGACCAACCGACACGAAGAAGGTTAAAATATCCATCTGCGATATTAGCCTTTACTTTCAAACGGACTTTAAATAAGAGTAGCCAGTGCATCACAGAGTGACAGCATAGGTAGGAACCTATTTATATAACGTCGTATATTCGGTGGTTCAGTCTTTTAATAAGCTCTTCTGCAAATATTCTATCTTATCTTAAACCGAACAGCGAAACAGCCTAATTTCTAACACTGGGTGCTGTATAATCGGAAATCCATTTCTGGCATTTCAGTATCACAAAATGCGACTCGGGGAGATAATCATTATCAACTTTGTACATATAGGGCAGTGACATTCGGTGGCTGTGCATGTAGATGCTATTATGTAATGAAAGAGATAGGAGAAATCGTTAGGCCTGTCTTAGGCGTTTCGGTTATTTTGTTGCATGAAAAATACAGTTCTACAATTTTACAGCAAATGTTAAATCATCCTTTATATAATAATACCTATTCATTGAATAATCATTCAAATGTTTACTTGAATCTTGTCAAATGAACATCACACTAACAGCCACCATATTTCATGCATTTTTCCATTTTAATTTCGATTAATTACATTTACTATAAGCATATGGTGATAAGCATAGTTAATTGTGCAAGTGATATTGTTTGGTTTTTTTTTTCTTCCGCACTTTTGCAAACTTTGTCTTTATCCAAACAAACACTTTTTTAAATTTTGAGCGCTACTGAGCAATTATTAATGCTTTTGTATAGTAATATACACATGTCGTTGATGTGTGTAATTCGATGTTCACTGAAAAAACACTATTTCTGTTTATATATATATATATATATATATAAAATCATAATATTGTGATGATTATCGCCACTCTTTCCCTTTTATCATTTCTGTAATTGCTACTGTATATCGACGGCTATAGGCCTATTCGGTACCTAAAAATTATTTTATTTATGATGTTTTGCATCCATAAGGATGGATGAGGAATTATAAAAATCACTGTTGTTATTAAAACGAACAACGTATGGCCATTTAAAAACAAAAGAAAAACATTTATAACAATTAGTTCTTTATTTTAAATGACAACCAATAAACGCGTATCGTAATATACATATGCATAGGCTAGTATCGGTAAACTGAAGAAAATTCCGTGTGAAACTAGATCCGCATGTTTACAAATAAAGGTGCCGAAGCAAAGACACAGTTCTGGTCCAAAAATATCTGGATTTCACTTATCCCGTGGATGAACCCCTGCCTGGGTGACTCATTCCTCCTTCCCTGGTTATCTGCTCTGTCGGTGCCAGTCCAGACCGTTCCTGGTTAATGTGAAGATAGCGGGCTGGGAGACAGTGCGGCTCCTTCACTCCGAGCCATTCTTTAACAGTTTTTGTCAAAGAGACACGCCGAACGAAAACACCTCGTTTGTCTCACGGGACAGTGGATGGACAGTGACGCCCGGCCCGTGTATTCCGGACCTACTACAAAAAATAAATTAAATTACATAAAATACACATAGGAATTGTTTATCTGTAACACTGTGTGAATGTTATGTTAGCAAAATATACCATACACGCAATTTCAATGACAACAGAACCTCGCCGATAGTTCATTAATCACTGTATTATTAATGTCATACAATACCCATTAAATGTATCATTAAATAGAAACAAAAGTAGCTTGGAATTAAACTCTTTTTAAATCTTCCTAAGCTTTGGGACCAAAGGCGAAATTGTTCCCATTAGAAATGTCTCAGTCATTCAACTTTTATCTTGTGAATTAGATTATGCCTCTTCTTAAAATGTAAAAGATGGGCCCGTTTAAACCACAATCGCATTGGGAAAAAGGCAAACATCTTGCAAATATTAGCCTCCCGAATCCGAGTCTCTGCTCGGTAATACGGCTAAACTCCGTGACCTGCAGTTTACCCCTAAATGCAGTTATTACGGGACGCACTCCAGTTTGTTTAATAGCCTAAGTGCATGGAGAACAAAGAACAATTCGGTTTTACTCTGCGCAGAGAGGTACGAAATCCAACTTTCCTAAGAGACTGAAAGGGGCGACCGCCGATGGCTTCGCCATGAATAATTTAATTGACACCTCGTCTCTGTTGATCACTTCTGAGTGTAACGCATATTCTAGGTGAATGAATTAGCACCGCGTTCAAAGTCAATACCTTCAAAATACACGCTTCACGCTGAGAGTTGTTGATTCCATGGGTAGAGACCCTTTAAAGTGCTCAGCTTAGGTAAACGAATTAGCGGCACCGTCTTGATTAACATAACGAACCCAAAGAAAGCAAACCCTTTCAGAGTCAACGAATGAATAAGTAAATAAACAATAGAAAAACGACGGAGATTAAATCATAGTTTGATATTAAACTGCATTAAAGCGAAAGGTTTGAAGGCCTTGGCGAAAGTAAATGCTAATTTATATTATTTCGGTAATTATAATCGCATCGTTTATCAAATTCCTTTGCTTCACGTAAATTTTTAATTCTTAATCCTTTTAAAAACGGCGGAATCATTTTATTTGTGTATTTATGTACTCAGAATAAGAGGGCTATACAGGCATATATATGTATGTATATATAGGAATCAGGAAAAGGCTAATATTGTATTATTGTTTGACTTTAATTCTATCCATATTTTATAAATATTGGTTTTGTCTGGAAATTTTGTCACTATCAGGGAGTCGGGTGTTAACATCAGTTTTAGCGCCCGGCCGGCACCCAAAGGCGCCGTTTATACGTAATACAACAGCCAAATCTGTTGTTTTCGCTAAATAACAAAACAACATTATTTTTATGTATAGGTCTATGTAGTTAAAATCCACAGTTGCTATGGTATTTTGTATGCTTTTTAAAGTGCATATATATATTTTTTTACAAATACACTGGCCTATATGTGTGCATGGCGAGGGCCTAATTTATTGTTTTCTGTAATATTAGCATATCTGTGGTTAAGCGAATACGGTTATTTGCAGCCCGGGTACTCTAAATTCCATAATACTTTGGTCCGCAGTTTAACAATGAGAGTTTTTAAAAATGTATCTCCCGTTTCAGACATTTTTAGTGCTGATCGGACCTCGCTCTGCTTTTTCCTTTGATTGATCGCCCAGGCTAGCACCCCCGTCAAGCTGATGTGTTTGCTCAACTTGAATCCAATCAGGGGCCGGCTTGCAGTTTCTAACTGCAGCTACAAGAGGCGCCTCCTCTCTTAAACTCAGTCACGACGGCAGCCGGCCTTTCATTCCGTATCCGCGCGAAGACCAGCTACATCTAAGGGTGGAAATACTTCAAGCAGCCGCTGATGGCACACAACCAATAGGTCTGATGTAGTTTTCTTCTGCACTTCGCTTTTGGTTACGTTTTTTTCCCCTCTTTACGGGTGAAACATCTGGTTTCCTTGACCGCTTAACGAGCCAGCTGCGAAAAAAGCTAAATCATTTCGGGTATTGTTTTGTCACCGTTATCCTGCCTCTCGCTCTTATCTGTTGTGGGTCTTATCACGTGGTTATCTATTTGCTGCAAAGACATATGACATTTTGTTTCCTATCTATACCGCGTTGTGGGTTTTTTGGTAATTATGATGAACCTATCTCAAGAGGGGGGACGGGACTTAAGGCGAAGTTATTCCGCTGGAGATACTTCCAGCGCGGTGTAGTGCGGTGTCACGCCTGTCGGATTCTTGATGAGTTTCAGCGTAGCAAGAAGAGTGTTATCTAAAACTTGTGTATTACGTACGTCGCCGAAAGCAGTTTTATTTTAATAAATCTGCGGGGATAATCATCTTCAAAAGATGAAAGTAAAGCATAGCTTGGCGGGGAACTTAGAAGTTCCTGGGTACGTACAGCTCCAGAAGGTGAGTTTGTCATTGGGCACTAAATCGAAGTGACTGCGGACAGAAACTCGCATTAGCTATACGCGGAGAATGACATTTTGATTGTGATTATTATATGCTTTTAGTGTCATTTTGCTATTATTATTTTTTTTTGTCTGTTTTTTTTTAATTCGGCAAAACATCCGAACTTTTTCATTTTTTTCCCCCAACCTTTTCAGTTCATTAGGGTTTTGCCATATGTGTGACAATGTCTTTTCTAAGAGCGCTCTTTTTATAGTCGGATCTAGGTGATCGGTGTGTTCATCTCTCTCTATCGTGCCATCCGCAGGGTTTTGCTTTCCGATTTCCTGAACCCCAGTGTATAAACCGGTTCCTGAATGGACCTGGGAGAAAACAGCTGGTCAATGGTTAAGCGCGAAGTCTCCAGCAGCCCAGCGTCCCCGGCTGAGCAGAGCTACCTGCACGGTGACAGGAGGGACCGGCACGCCTCGGAGGACCTGAGGTCATCGACGCCAGTTCATCTGGACACCGTGGGAAACCGACGCCCCGAGGGCAGGTCCCTACACTCCTACGTTCACTTCGGACATCCCGGCAACACCCTGCCCGGCTCGGAGGACATTACGCTCTTCACGGATTTAGACCAGGCGAACAAACTCATCATCTCCAGCGCCGGCCACAAGGGTGGTTTAATTGTCGACCCCAGCGACATGTATCAAACGCTCGCCATTGCGGCAGCCCAGACTCAGGTGGGATACGACGCTCCTGCGGCCAGCTACATGCACTCCACCCCCGCGTCCCCGGTGTACGTACCGACGTCCCGGGTGGGACCGATGATGTCCAGCCTGCCTTACATGCAGGGAACCGGGGCATCGCAAACCAGTCACGCGGTCACCAATCACTCAGTCTGGTCTCAACCCGCCCCAGAAAGCCCGTCTTACAGCACCGGGAGCCCGCACGCATCCAACCGGTTTCCCTACTCTCCCAGTCCGCCCATGAACAATGGGACTTCCAGAGACAGCAGCTACGGTAATCATCTGAATGTGAACGGCAGAGACCAGTACAGCCTTACGCGACCTCTCAATGGATCCTACCCCAGCCCATATTCGCCCTACGTGGCGCCGCAGCTGTCCACGGCTTGGCCGGGAGGGCCGTTTGACAGCACGATGCTCCACACTCTGCCCAGCCGGCCGCCGTTACCGATCCGAGGGCCCGGTACTGGTAAGATAACATTCATTTGTAAATTAATGTCATTTTTCCATTGCCGTTGATGCAACATTAAGTGCGTGCTTGTGTCCAATTTGAACAGCAAACAATGTGATTCTTTTTCTTAGTTAAGTTTAAGGAACTGATTACAGAGATGACTGATTATTAAATGAAGAGCCGCCATAAGATGCACTAAATCCATTCGAGTCTGAGAAGGCTTATGAATATTTTGGAGTTAAAATCTGTCCATTCTTCATGTTTTTAGCGGTCTCCCAAAAAAAATGAGTGAAACTGCCAGAGCAAATCCATTACCAGTAGCCGAACTAATTGTTAGTGTTTTACTTCCAGTCAAATAACCGCGAAATTTGTCCCTGGGGCCTTATTCCGCACGCGAGCGATAGCTCAGTTCATAGCTAATGTCTCGCCCAGTCAGCTTCAGGTGCCCCATTAATCTAACTGGCGTATTTACAGACTCGAGTGCTCTTTTTAGAACCACACTTACTGTAAAATCTACTACCGAAGAGACGACCCTTTACTTATGAAATCTGCTCCGCTGCTCTGCTCAAATGAATGTTCATTATTCATTAGGAAAATAAGCCATAATTGTATGGCTGTCAACGAAAATAGTTAGCAACGAAAGTACTGTATAATGTTCATGCATTCGGGCTATGTTTATAAAACATACAGTTATAGACAAAGTTTATTCTAGTTAATTTGTTTTTATTAAACGATACGTTATACAGTAATTGCATATCCAGTGGAAAATGTGATTATCTGAAAATATAAATATATATAAAATACTGGACATTGAATTGTATGCTATATAAAATATATAAAAATCCCCAGAAACTTAAATAATTGTTTGCAATTGCAAAATATTTGGCCAAACATAAACCCACAACATACAATGTGTCGAGTCAAGATAAATATTATTTTTTTTTATCTTATTTTATATATTTTAATCCAAATTGTTTTTAAGGCGCTATATAAACACCTATAGAAAAATATTACATAGTCTTAATTTACGGTTGTCTTCTCATTGCTTTTTACTTTGAAAACAAACAAACCTTTTTTCCCTAATTTTAGAAGTTAGTAGAAAGATCATATATGTAAAATATATAGGCCTACACACTTCTAAAAATATAAAACGTATTTTAAATATTGATAAGCGTAAGAACAGTCTGGTTGTGGATGGGGTTGATTATTTTAAGGTAATCACTATTTTCAAAATGTCACGGTAGTTAGTTTAGTTTCCGGGAAAAAACAATCCGAAAATTTGTAGCTTTCGGAAATAGCTTAATTAAACAACGGATGTAGAATAGCAACAATTTCCCCTGTTTAATGCCAAATAGCAATATTGAGATGAAAATCACAGGTCCTTTTGTATGCATATTTCCATGTTGGATAAATAATTGTTCTGCTATGGTCGGTGCGGATGTCATCATTTGGTTGCTCCCTTCTCCGAACCGCAGACATGCTGGACGACCTCGGAGAGAGCCGGGAATGTGTGAACTGCGGATCCATCTCCACGCCGCTCTGGAGGCGCGACGGAACCGGCCACTTCCTCTGCAACGCTTGCGGGCTGTACAGCAAAATGAACGGGCTCAGCCGACCGCTAATTAAACCGCAGAAGAGGATGGTAAATACATTTTACGTGAGCTCCTTTTCATCCATTGGGAGCTGTGTCGTTAAACAAACTACTTAGCCTACCTGAAGTGCGCTAATTACTTTTCTTTGGTTCCAAACGAAGGTGCTCTTGATTAATTAGCCGCATAGGAAACCGATTGCTCATCTGCGACCTTCAGTAGGCCGCACTAATAATCAGTCATCTCAAGGGATACCATTAACTATTATTTTGCACTGTTTTATGATGCAGAACAAAAAGACGAGTTTGGGTCAGTGATGGAGAATTATAGACCCACGCAACCCAGCAATGACAAACGAATCAAGACTTTCTTTACGTCTGAATTTCATGAAATCTCTGTAATTCTATTACAGATAATTTAGAAATTACTCTGATATATCTATAAAAAATCTATTACTTGGCCAAAATCGAGCGCTATATAACGAATAATTAGTGCGAAAACACGTCAGGCGCTTAAGTGCACAAGCGAGGCACTCAGACATTAACACCCTAAGTCACTTAACTGCAGTAATAAGCATCTGAAATAAACACGGGATCGAATACAAATAGGACCAAACAGGCGGTTCTTTACTTACAGCTGTAACGATGTTTACTGAATGAATGACGAGTGATGTTGCTTTGCAAGTACTTATTTTTAAATAATACGTAATAGATCTGTTTAAAGACACGAGTCGTGAGATCACTTGGATGTTTAATTTCGGCATAGTTTAACGCTTGTGCTGCCATGCCTGGGCGCTTCTGAAATATGAACTTGTTTTGTTTGGCGCAGCCTGTAGGGCTCGGTGCTTGGCCGGTGTTATATGATGAGTTTGATTAATTTTGCGTCTCTGCCTTTAGTCCTCATCGAGACGAATCGGGCTGTCCTGCGCCAACTGCCAGACCAGCACTACGACGCTGTGGCGCAGAAACGCGGACGGAGAGCCGGTGTGCAATGCCTGCGGGCTTTACACCAAACTACACGGAGTGAGTACCCAAGCAAGTTTTATACAATCACTGGGGTATTGTTTTAATGCTACAAACTTATTCGTTTTTAAAATTAATTTCTTCTGACAGTGGTTAGCACTTGTCGTCTCACACCTCTGGGACCTGGGTTCGAGTCTCCGCCTGGGTTACATGTGTGTGGAGTTTGCATGTTTTCCCCGTGTCATCGTGGAGTTTCCTCCGGGTACTGCGGTTTCCCCCCACAGCCCAAAAACATGCTGAGGTTAATTGGAGTTACCAAATTGCCCATAGGTGTGCATGTGTGAGTGACTGGTGTGTGACTGTGCCATGCGATGGGTTGGCCCCCCATCCTGGGTTGTTCCCTGCCTTGCGCCCGTAGGCTCCGGACCCCCCGCAACCCTGAATAGGATGAGCGTTTACAGAAAATGGATGGATGGATGGAATTTCTTCTGATGTTATTTTATTTTATCAGCCAATACAGTTAAATTCTCCGTTCCAAAGACGCGGCCATTCGCCTGTAATTTGGATTTGAGATCGAAAAAGTCTGAGGCTTATAAAGAAACTATAAAATACTTTCGGCAACATTTCACTTAATTGTTCAGTTTTCCGTTTTTAGTGTATTTTATTAACTGTAGGCCTAATCATTAATAAAAATGTGAATCGCATAATTTTCGCGCGCTAAGACATAACTGAAGATATATAAACGGTGCTACAAGCACTAATTAATTACTTTTATAGAGAAACCGGTGAACCTGTTTAGGCCTAAATGTATTTAAGCAGTTATTTTGCGTATGCAGACATTTCCTATGTTTTCATATAAACAATAAAAAATTAGGAGCTGTCATCTGAAACAGAGACGTTATGCTGATGATTGATCATTGTGGTTATAATAGGTGCCCAGACCACTCGCTATGAAGAAAGAGGGAATTCAGACTAGAAAACGGAAACCCAAAACCCTGAACAAGACCAAAGGATCCTCCGGTACGTGCGATCTTATCGACCACGTTAAAATGTATGGGTTGTAATTCGGGGTTTTCTACAAATTTATTTATTTATTTATGTTGTTTCATCACCATAGGAAACACGAATTCCGTGCCCATGACTCCAACCTCCACGTCTTCATCCAACTCCGAAGACTGCGGGAAAAACGGCTCGTCACCTGCGCAGGTGTCGGTGTCCGCGGTAGGTCCCAATAAAATATCCGATTCACGGTATAAATCGTCTAAGAAAAGCCCAAAGTAGCACAAATATCTAGCGAGAAAAAAAATACACATACACATAGTGTAATCTTCTTCAACGAGATGGGGGTGCTTTTTGTTTTTGAAGGTTTTTACTATCGCCCAATAGGTTCGGCTTTTTAATTTAAAATATACGCCACCGTAATTACGGATAACGTAATAATATTTTCCGCAAAAACATCCCTCCTTTCATCACGCAGCATGTGGCTAAAACATTGTGGTCACGTAATGTAAACACTGCAGTTAAAAAAGTTTCAGCGCAGCATTAGAGGAGAAATGAAACGAAATTTTGCACTTTGCTTAAATGCACCGGAGGACGTCTGGAGGAGGCCAAAATGTCAGCTTGTGATTTATTAGCCGTTTTAATGTGCCTCTCTGTTTTGATTAGATTAGTTTTCCTGCAGCGTCCGACTCTGACACGGAGGGGGGGTGGCTGCAAGACCAAATTTAATAACTTATAACTGTTATTCAGTCATTGCAATAGTTTAGATTGTTAGATGTTAACAGATTATGTTATTCCAAACTATTTGTGTTCCCGAGCATTTAAGGACTTTTAAATCCTTTAATTCCAGTGTCTCAAGGTGAAAATCGTTTATGACATTTTCTACTCGCGGTGGAGAAAAGTGTTTATGGGCCGATGGTCATCCCAGTGTTCACACTCTAATAGCGATGTCAGTAATCATTTAGCAGTTATGGTTGTAGTGTATGACAAGAGTAAATGTTCTTACTAATTGCCTTCACGGGAATTTAGTTTTGACTTAGAGGTTATTAGCGACTTCGATCCCAGAATGCTTTGCTGGAGGCGTCAAACATGCTGTATGGGTCCTGTTTTGCTGACCAACCTCTGAATGCTCAGGGTGGACTCCGGCTGCTTTGATCTGCCTGTTTTTTTTTTTTGTATCCAAAATATTTAAGAATATACTGGATTAAAAAAATTATGAAAAGGGGGGTTTTCAGATCAGCTCACTGACGGGCCATTTTTTAAAATTTGTGTGATTGCAGGTTAACTCCACCACAATGGCCAGTCAGGGGGAGGGCGCTGGCTCTGGCAGCTCCATGGGCAAATACACTGTGCCAGACGGCCTGTATCCCGGGGTTGGCCTGACCTCCACGGCTGACGTGGCGTCCTCCGTACGCGGTGAATCCTGGTGTCCTTTGGCCCTGGCCTGATCCCGGACTCCGTCAAAGGGACGACCCCCCCGGCTACACTCTGTAGGTGCATTTCTGCCCTCACGTTGGGATTTCTCTTTTCCGCCATAAAAAGTCCGAAGAGGAGCTTGACGACAACATCGTAAATGAACACCCCCACCCCCCCCACCCTGTTCCCCTTTGGCACACCCCACCTGTTACCCGAACTGTGGGACAGGGTCACCTGGAGAATGAAACTTTGAATGCCTTTGAAAGTTGCAATATTTAATGCCCTTTCCCCTCACTCTCCGACCTTTTCAAACATATTTTTATTAATCTGTGGCTGGTACAAGCTTTGGACTTATCTTTCTGTTGGCAAAAAAAGTCACATGGGCATTTTTTAATTGGCTAAAGGCATAGATATAGATATGGACACTGTTAATTGGATTCCTAAAAAGGGGAAAAAAACGACATCATTCTCCCAAAACTTCAGCGCCTTCCTCAGCAACTGGAATAGACGATGACCTACTACAAAATCCTTCCTGAATCAAAGCTGAAATATTTATTAATCTTTCAATGTTAGAAAAATATAATGTTTGTTAATAAAGATGTGATAATAGCACAGAATAAATCTTTAATTGGTATTGCGTGCCGTTTTAAATTTAAATTCCTTTCTGCATATCCTTGATGCCATTTTCCTTGTCCTGGAGCAGCAATCTTTTCCGGAAATTTTTACTTTTATTTAAAATAGATTTTGTGGTTTTATACAGGGTAAAAATATATTGACGTCATCATATTTTTTGAAGTGCAATTATTGCTTTCTGTTGTGGCAATCAGTGTTAAATCAAGAATTTCAGATTTAACGGCAAATTGCGCGATTAGTGTAAAATGTGTGACATGACGGTACTTCCCAAGATTGTTTAATCTGATTTTTGAAGGTCCACATTTAAAGTTCATAGAATTTACTTAGGAAAAACAACAAGGAATAAAACATCTTTCAAACTATGGCTGGCAAGATTCACTAGATCAAATTGCACTGGTGAAAACGGCAAACTTTTGTTACAAGGTTACATGCAAAATAAGAAAGAGCACTGTGGCAATATTTCATAGAAATGCATAAAACTTTGCTACCTAACTGACGAATGTAAATACTCCACAAACAGTTATATCTCATGTTTTCAAGATACATTTAATCTTTTATCTGTTAAAATAACAGATGTATGTATAGAGTGATTAAAGCTTCACTTTTGTCTTTCTGTTTAAAAAATGCTATTGCCTTCTTATTTGTTAAGTAAAGCTAATTAAAAAAATAATGACACTTTCCCAATACAAAATTTTTGTTTTGGTTGCAGCGTCACTGGTTTTGAGAGAATGAAGCAGTCCTTCCTTGATACCTTGCTTTAGGCGGGGTTTATGATGCTACAGCGAGAGTACATTGGGAGTACTGCGGGAGTACTGCAGGAGTACTGCGGGAGTACTGCAGGAGTACACTGCATCGAAAAAATCTCCACGCCCCTGTTAAAAGCGCCAGTTTTTGTGATGCAAAAAATGAATCCAAGACAAATCAGATTTTTTTCCTACCTTTTTCAAGTGAAACGCGTTTTGGAGATTAACCTGTCTGCATAGGTGTGCACATTGTTTTGGTCTGGGTTGGAGGCCCAATATAATATGGTTTCATGGGGCCCAAAATCTCTAGCGGGACCCATTGCACATCCTTATATTAATTCTACGTTGAAGCACCTTCTGTTTGTAATACAGCACTCAGTATTTTTGGTGTGAATGTATAAACTTAGGACATATTAGCTTGGCAATTTTATTCCACTCTTCCTTGCAAAACAGCACCAGACCCATCAAACTTTTCATTTAATTTCATTTCTTTTTTTAAGTTAAGCAGGGGTCTTTAGTTCACAGCCCTCTTCAAATCATTCCACAGGTTTTCAGTAGGATTTACGTCTGGGTTTAACAGGGCGTGCATACTATTCAGATCTGCTGAAGTTGATGAGATGGGAATTTTAGAGTCAGTGTGGAAAATGGGACTTCCCATTGGCCGGCTACGGAACAGAGGCTTTGCGGAGAGTATCTGTGTATCACCACGTCTGTCCTGATCAAAGCTTTCAGCTGGCAGTGTCACAGTGAGAATTACTCAAGACAGAAGCATTAGTGAAAATTATCAGCGCACTCGCAAAACCAGAAACAAGGATGATGCACAGATCAGCAGTGGCCCTTACTGCTAAAATTTTGTGTGAGATCTAAGGACCTGAAGTTTTTCCTATTAGCTATATATGGCAAGAGTGTGGACTATTGGAGACCTTGATCTTGCATGGTAATCCAGTTCAATTCGAATGATCTGTGGACTGAGATTCCATGAACCAAACTCCATTTAATGTTAATGACGTTGCATACTAATGTGGCTCGTATTTATTTAAGGCTGTGTAAAGAAAGAATGAGGTTTGGCCCGAAATTCATCATTGATTTTCAGCGTAAAGCTGGACTTTGAGACAGGGCAGCAGAACGACATCAGAGTCACACAGAAGTTAATTGCGTAGCAGAAACTACTTTATCACTCTGATTCTAGAGGTGATAATTCAACGCTATCTTAACATCGAAGTTGTTTATGTTTCTTATAGTTATTGTAGAGAAAAACATAATAATCAATTTGCGACTAAACCTACATACAAAAATAGACAGTTTTTGGTTGTAATCTGCAAACGTATATGTAGTTAAGGTTTAACTGAAAATTAATTTCGATTTGGCGTTCACCGTCTGCTTCTGAAAGATATGACTGATCTAACCAGCAGTGAATGTGACTATTTGGATTTTAGAGTGACGTGCAACGTGTTTTATGCAGTTTTGAATTCTACATGTGTTTGTGTCTGAGTGTGTGTGTGTGTATATATACAGTATATATATATACACACACACACACGTATGTATGTATACTGTTTATAAATGTATATATACATAGGCAGATATACACACTGTTATTATATTGTATTGCTTTATTTATTTATGTTCACACCAGAGTGCGAAAGTTAATTTTTCTGGGGCATTGTTTATACGTAACTCCACGTTAAGACACCCCTCTCCCTGTTTTCTTGGAACCCGATGGGTTCACTCCCCCCGCCCCCACCAAAGGTTAGCCTCAGGTAGGCCCTCCCCTGAACACCGCCACCCCGAACCCCCCCGCCCCCACCTGCCGTGAGCTTTACCCGGCTCCGGACTGACCCCCGCTGCCCGTGGCGTGTCCCGCTGATGAAGATGGATGACCTCATCGTCTTATCTGGCCGTGGCGTCAGACGAATTACTGAGGCGATTTTTTTTTTTTTGTTTTTTTTCTTACACGTGAGGCTTCTCTGGGTGTAAACACTGCCTGTCTTCACATGTGTACTGGAAATGTCTTTATCTACATATAAGTACACGCATTAATATTTGTGTATGTGATTGTGCACGGTGTCGGGAAGTAGAAGTGAATACGCGTGAGCGTCGGCCGTAAGTTTACGCAACCTCAGCTTCTGGAGCCTTCCGTGACTCCCACACCAGTCTGGACACACCCAGTCAGACGGCACATTGACCTTCGACCCCATGACGTGGCCCGGTTTCGAACGTGCTGCTATGGCGTATCCCGGCCCTCAGGCCTCCGTCAGAGTGCTGCCCCAGGATCAGGGACCCTTTGCGTCCCTCTAGGTTCCTGGTTCGGGCCCCAGGACCGCAGAGGAGCTCTCAGTCTAATAACCCTCAGAGGTGCTGTGGTGCCAAGTCTCCCAGATCTACAGGGCGACGTGCGTATCAGGCACTGGCAGGATCCGCACGCAGCGGGCGAGACAAATTACACACCGCCTTTTAAATATTTAAGAACCACCTTAGTGTGCAAACCAGAACTGGCACAAATATTTATGGGCTGGAGAATTTATGAAGAGGCCAAAGCATTGTATTGTTTCTGTGGTATCCATGGTACCAGGAGAAAAGTGCTACAAACATGACACCATCGGAGACCCTAATTTGTTACTCTCTGAAGCCTGAATAACGGTTAAAGACGTTCTGCTATCTATCTATCTATCTATCTATCTATCTATCTATCTATCTATCTATCTATCTATCTGTCTATCTGTCTATCTGTCTGTCTGTCTGTCTGTCTGTCTGTCTGACCTTGGTTATATGTAGATACACTTTTTCTATACATCTATATGTTTTTCTATACATATAGGCATAGAAATAGATATGCTGATAGATGGGTTGGTAGATATTGTTTTGCAGAATCTGTGCTGGTCTTTTCCAGCCCAAAGTGAAAAGGAGCCACCCGGCGGGACGTGGACCTGCCTGCACACACGTGTGTGAGTGTAGGTGAGAGTGTAGGTGAGAGTGTAGGTGTGAGTGTAGGTTCCCTCCCTTCTTCAAAGTTGCACCAAGTCTGTGCAAACGTGCTCACGTGTCCTGTTTATACATGGCTCTCAGTGGTCGTGCACGCAGGCCGCAGCAGGAGGGACAGCAGGAGTGGGGGAGCCGCGTAATGATGAGGTACTTCCTGCTGCATCTGTAGGATGGGACACTCTTACCCATAAGCCCCGGGCTGGTTGAGTGGCTGGGCGTGATCAGGGCTCCCAGCAGGGCCGGCAGCGGCTGTTTCCACAGCGGCTCTTGTGGGCCGACGCGACGGCTGCAGGAAGAGATGGGATCTCTGACTGGGCCTCCTGGGAATCCGCGAGCCGTTAGCTGCTTTTCATCATTGGGCGCTCGGAAAACCGGCTCTTTTCCTGACTCCTCTGGCGCATCCGTGCTGAATCAGTGTGCAGACCAATAGGACACCGGGGGAGGATTAACTTATCTGGGGGGGTCCCGAACTTATCCTGGGGGTCCTAAGGTGGGGGGAAGGGGCCCTGGAGTTTGCCATGGCCTTAGGCTATAGCCAAGGATAATAATGGCACTTTCACTGTCTGAAATACATGACCAAGTGATCGATTCCCCCATTCTCCCAGCTCAGTGTGATCTCCCTGAGCTGTGGTTCCAATACAACTGTTAACAAGTGTGTCTGTTCAGGTGCAGAGAGGCATTCTGGGAAAAGGGGGGGGGGGGAGTCAACCAAGAAATAGACCAGCGGTCACTGACACCTGCACAGAGAGCCAAGCAGGCAGGTGGAAAGACGCCATCTGCAATGTGGAAAGGACCCCTGCCGAGGACCCGGCTGGGGTGACCTCCAAGCTGCCTGTGCCCAGCAGGGCCTCTTGGCTCCCCATCCCCGTCATTGTGCAATGGAACATCCCTACCACACCGTCATCCGCGAGGAAGAGTTCATGTGGGAGTTTCCATTCCCCTCATTTCTGGAAGAACAGAGACTTGGCAGGATAAACAGCAATGTGCTATAAAACACCTCCCCGGCTCCCATCTCTCCTCAGTCTCTCCCATACCTTTGTACCCTTCCATTAAGGCATGGAAATACTGCATTTTCTTTATATTGCCCTCATTGCACACTTGCCACATACACACACTTACAAAGCTGAATGCAATTCAGCCTGTTCTCTCTGCATCTGGGATTCTCACTCTGATGGTGATATGCAAAGGTATTCGACAGCCTCCGTTTTGATGTTGTCCTGATACCTTTTGCCGGTAATTTCCACATGCTTTGTCTGAGATGTCAATGCTTCCGTCTTTCAAGTAAAATAAGATTCTGCTTTGTTATTTTAGGGTTCTAACTGCAACATAAACACATGTGTGTCATAAAGTCAACCCTAACCATAATCCTAGCCTTAATAGTGAGTGTCAGACTAACTTAAATCCAGCCAAAAATTTAATTCAATATATGGCTAGCCCTAATGGTAACCCTAACCTTATCCATAATCCTAGTAGCAACTGCACCCTGCCAACCCAACTTAAAATCCTAGCCCATAATGACTGACCCAAGCCAAAACCTTAACCCTAGTGCTAAGTAAACAGACACCTGAACACATTAGTTGTAGATTAAGAACACGCGCTCCTAACAAATTTAGCCCTTCTTTTCAACAGCGAATAAGCAAACACGCTGCACTGAATTCCTGAAATTTACTCATGAAATGAGACATGAAATGAGTAAGTTTCAGGCAGCCGGTGAGTCTTTCATTTCTCCAAGCGTGGCTTCTTTTGTTTGATTGGTGACTATCATTTTCCCTGTAAACATTAGCTAAAATAACAGGAGTGTTTCCTGTTTGAAACCACACCTTAACCTCCCCTGCCTCTTCATCCTGACCAGAACACTTTGCTGTCTCTGTCTATCTGTGTTGTACTGGCTGGACATGAATCCAATTTTTATACAGTAAAATAGTGGGATAAATGTATATAATATATATTTCCAGCTATGAATAAT